TGCGATCTTACATATCTATTGTGTCCCCCTTTCTTGAGTTATAACTCATCATACAGTGCCAGGGCTTTGACAAAAGCCAGTATCTGGGACGGTTTTACAGAGGGTAGTTCTCCATCTCCAAAAAAAGTTCATGGCACGAATGGTTGTCGTCTCGGCGCACTCAGTGTGTTCTGGCGTTTCCCCATTTTCCCCACAGAATCTGCATTCGCCGTTTCTTCTTAGTTTCAATCTACTGAGGTGTTCATTGAGGAGACAATGTCCTGTTAAAAACCCCGTGACAATCCGAAGATTGTTCTTACTTAAATCCAGGAAAATCTTTCATTTTTCTTGGTCGTAAGCCCTCAGAGACTTCTTCGAGTGTCTTAGACCGTTGCAAGATTCCCATTCCAGGTTGCGGATAGGGTCTTCCAAGTTCTTGAGTTCCGCCTTTAGTTGGTTACCACTTGGGACGCAGAACGGTTCTGGTCCAGTTAGTGTCTCCTTTTCTAGCTAAATCATTTGCTTTTTCATTGCCTTCTATCCCTTGGTGAGCAGGCACTTCTCTATGCATTCTTTGACCAATTTCAAATTGATTGATACTGAGTTGATCGCTTTTAACGTTGCTTGACTCTCAGATAAGATGGCTATTTCTTGTTTCCGATAGTTCCTATCTAAGATAAGTTGTACGCATCTTTCGATAGCGTAGATTTCTGCCTGTAGGATGCTAGGTTAGGTGCCCATTGATTCGGAGTACATATTTAGTTCTCGGCCCAAATAGTCCAATTTTTCTCCGATCCCTGTTCCCGCATTGGTTTTGGAAGCATCAGTATACCAAGTTATGGTATGGTCTTTTATCTGCTGATCAGACATTTCTCTCTTCCAATCCTTTTTATTGCTCAATACTACATTGAGATGTTTCTCAAAGTTGTACATTCTTGGCATAGCATCCACTCCATTTCCTTTTTGAGGGTGTTGATCTGAAAATTCTCCCAGTACTGATTCCGTTAGTGACCATTCTAATCATTGTCGCATTCGCATATCTACTGATGACAATGTGCAGTGGTGTTAGATCTAGAATGACCTCCATTGCTGCTGTTGGACAGGTTCTCATGGCTCCTGTGATACAAACGCATGCCAGTCTCTGGACTTTGCACAGGTTTAGCTTTGCCAGCCGTTGATCTAGTTTTGTGTACCAGGCAACTGCTCCATACATAATCATGGGTCTTACTATCATGGTATACATCCAGCGCAAAATGTTAGGGGAGCAGCCCCATCTATTTCCGGCCAGTCTTCTGCATATCATGAGAGCCTTGATTGATGGCAGTATTTCCTTTCCATCTAGTTGGATTCTTTTCAAGTTATTCAGACTTCTTCGCTTTCTGGTGAATGGCGCTATCGCGGTTTTGCCTGAGTTGAACTCCCCGACAGTCCTGCACCATCTCTCAGTGATACGGAGTCCTCTTTGGATAATATCACACAGGGTGCCTTCATGTTTCCCCCGAGCGTACAGACATCTTCACAGACAAGTTAAATTTTAGAATCTGGCATAAACGACAAGGGTTTAAATAGTAATTTTAAGCTGTAAAACCGTCTATACCTAAGATCTATACACGACAGCCATCCATAAGTCATTTCTTTCCTATCGTCTGTACACGTCTACCGTACCAAAATCATTTTTATGACTTCTTACGAGTTTGGATCTAACATAACCGCCGCATTACATTAACTTTAGGAACGACTTAACTGATTAAGCTTGTCTGTACAACCTGACATTACTCTACACTTTTATGAGTTTGTTACTCTGAGGTGTTACTACGGTGTATGTATGTATAATCGCGGAAATAATGGAAATAGCGTAATTACATTTTACAAAGACTTGAAAAACGCTGAAATTGTTGGGTGGAACACAATGCTGCCTGTGTATATGGAAACAAATTAAGTGATTTTATGGTATTGTGAGAGATGGTATACCTACGTTATTTGTATACTAATAGTAGTAGTAGAAGAAGACTATAACTAATTATTCGTTAAGCTTTTTTTTCAATAATAAGGGGCCGTCCTCTGCCGGAAACACTGCGACCTCTGAGGCCTATTGTGTTTAAAGCTTATTTATTTTAAATTTGCAATATCTTGTGTGAGTGTGTCTGAATAACCGAAAAGGAATTTCGGTCATTTAATTACATCTTGTAGATAGTTTATGTGTAAGTGCTTTATAAAAAAACTTCTAAATTTTGATTAATTTTTAGCAGTAATACTAGATACTGTTAACATTTTATATTTCTATAGGTGTCTTTTAACCTATAGAAATATAAAAGCTGTGTGCTTTAATTATTTTGAACCGATTTTACACTGAAATATTAAGAAAAACGGTGACTGTGTGAAGTCACTGTTTGATCGAGCTCGAAACAACAATGTAGCAATTATTTTTAGTATTCTTTTTTAAAGAAGAACGTCGTTAGATGTACATATATGTGTTTTAATATTTTATAAAGGAAAGGGTGTAGCCGAATTAATATAGGAAATCTGCCCACACGGCTTTTTTGATTCGTGCTCAGAACATTCGTTCGCTCGTTCGTTTGTTCGTTCGTTCGTTCGGATAAAGGTGCGTATTCATTATCCGAACGAACGAATGAAAGTGCGGTATATTTAGACGGGGACCGAACGCATGCGGCCGTTCGTTCGTTGGTTCGCTCGACCATCCGTTTCGAGTCGGTACATCAAAGGCGTTCGCCAACAAATGCCTCCGGTCTTCTCGTGCGGTCCTATCGTGCGGTCCTCGTCCATACCACTAGCGAACATTCGTTCGTTCGTTCGTTCGGATAATGAATACGCACCTTAAGAATTAGAAAAAAATCATCATTAATTAATTTTGAATTTTACTATAAAATAAAAATAAAATTGAAAAGACAGGTTTTTTTGAAAATCTCGAAAACCGTTTATGTTAAAGAGCTAGAAATTTAGGTGAATTATTTTGATTCGACACCAAATCGATCCCTTCAGTGCGAGTTAAAAAAGCCGCGGGGGCAGGTTTCCCATATTAATCCGGCTATACCCTTGTGTTTCCAATGTCCTATAAAGTTAGTTTTTAAGGCCTTATTGTGCAGAGGATGTTGTTTTGTTAATTGGCTGCATCCTCACTTAAATTTTGAGTTTTTTCTTAACTTTTTCGTCACGACCTGCTGTTTTTCTGAAATATTAACGTCAACTAATAAATAACATTAATATTTTAATGTCACCGATGTCTTCAGGTCTGCACCAACAGTTTAAGTTTATTTATAATAAATTTGCAATAGCTACTGTGACTCTATATTAGCACTGGTTACTTTATTTCCGTGGTCTGTACTTTAATGCATACGACAGAGATAAATATATACGACCAATTGACAGACAGTGAGATAAAATAAAAAGCGGCATACAGTGTTGCCGGCTCGTACGAGAAATAAAATAATAAAGTTTGTTTGTTTAAGAATCTATTACAGCTGTAGTAAAATGAGTAACTAATTGTGAAAAATAAATTTCCAACCCTAGATGCAACATTTTTTGTATCAACCTAACTTTTATCTCTTTTTAATACATTTGATTTTTCACATAAGCTGTTTACATGACTGTCTTACCCGGTAAAATTCAGACCACTGACAAATTCAAACAATTCAGGAGATGTTTGCTATTTCAACAGATTTTGAGAAATATTTAATTCTTTAATTGGTATATTTGTTTTTTTTTGTTCCATTCTTTAAGTGAGGCTACTAATATTTTAATGTCAGTTATTAACTACATATTTTTCTTCATTTTTAATTTAATATAATAATTGTTTTATTTTTAGTTTATAAATGTTTTGCAACGGTGTAATTTTACTGTATTTTGATTTGAATTATATGTAGGTGTTCGTTATTAGTTTAGATTTTTTTTATTTGAGTTTTCTATGTCTAATTTCTATCCTTCTAGCCTCTTATTTCATCACTTAATATAAACGATAGCAAGGCCTTTGTGGTTTTTGCAAGGCCTTACAAGGCAAAACGTTGTTTTGTGAGTGTCTCATTTTTAACCCAACATGTCCCATTTTTAGACTTTTTATGGGATAGATAGGGGGGTTAGATATAAGACAATTTTCTGCATACTGACTTTTTTAGGGGTACTTTTGGTATATTTTTACTTTTGCAATAGTTTCATTACCAACAAATACCTTTTATAGAAGAAATACTTTTGTATTTTAATGGTTAAAAAAGAACATTTGGTAGGTTGTAACTAACTAAAAGTTTTGAAATAAATCTCTCATTTTTAGACTACTTCACCCTAAAAAAATTAAACACTAATTCACCAAAATACACCAAAACACTTTTACTTTTGCACTGGACCCGCGTTTCGCTAACCATCTTAGCATCATCAGCAGATTATTAAACTAATTTAGTTTTAATCGTCTGCTGATGCTGCTAACATGGTTAGCGAAACGCGCGTCCAGTGCAAAAGTAAAAATGTTTTGGTGTATTATGATGAATTACTGTTCGATTGGTTTTGACTTGCTTGGCACGCTTGGTCAGTACCAATCGAGCGCCTAAACAAACCTTCAATTTCTGGATATTAGTTTAGTTTTAATATTAGTTTAATTTTAAGAAGCGCGCGTTCAGTATATATTAAAATTAAAGTGTTTTGATGCATTGTGGTGACTTTGTGTTTTATTTTGCTCTGTATAACCGAAAAGGAATTTCGGTAATTTTATTACATCCTGTAGATAATTTTCGAATGCTAAACTGAAAAATACAAGTTCTTGAAATTTAGATTAATTTTTAACAGTGATACATACTGTTAAAAATTAATATAAAATACTGTTAAAATTTTTATATTTCTGTAGGTATCAACTTACTTTTAACTAAAACAGGCTTTAATTATTTTGAACCGATTTCACACTGAAATATTAACGTTAACTAATAAATAGCATAAATATTTTAACGTCACCGATATCTACACCACCAAACAATGCTGTACCGAAATTTAAATCAATAACGTAATTTTCTTTGTTTCAGGCGTTAATGAACAAAAATGGGCTGAACGATACGTGCCAGATAGGGCGATACATCATTAAATAGAGGTATTCAATCAATAATTGTATAGTATACTAAGGGCGCAAATCCCAGTTTACTTCTGTCATAGACGCGCGATCCAAATTATAAAATATACTCTGATTCATAAAAAATGACGATCGCGTTAGACTGTTTATTAGGAAAAGATCTTAGTCTAAGGAAAAGACCTGCGGAACCCATATTTAAATGTGTTAGATTAAGAACCTCCTAATTTATTGTCTTAGGACCAGAGACTGATCAATCTCTGAACCAAATAGAGAAGGATTCGGAGATACAGGGTGTAGAAGTTTCATTTTTATTTCGTTTTTTTTCCAAATAATTTCGGAAAGAACATCGATATTTAGATGAAAATGGATGTCTGGGTGTTTTTGGGCATGAGAAATTTGATTTCGATGTCAATATGACTCCTACTTGTAAGTAATAACTTTTCGTCCATACCTGCATAAAACTACTGAGTGAAAAATATGTATTTTCGTAATTTTTACGCGTATTTATGTTGGTGGAGTCTACCCCTATCCTAAAACCTGTCTTATCCTACCTACCTATGTTGGTGGAGTCTACCTCTATCCCTACAGGAGTCATACTAACATCGAAATCGAATTTCTCATGTTAAAAAACACCCAGGCACCAATTTTCATCTAAATCTGCGTTAGCTCAGAAATTATTTGGGAAAATTTGAAATAAAAATGATACTTCTACACCTCTAACGAAGAATTTTAGTACATACATTTATACGAACTTTTTTACTTATTTTTATCTACAGAATATACTGCCGAAGTTTCCGGAATACAATTCGGACCGACCTGTATAATAAAACTGGCATAACGCCTTCTATCTTATATAAAATGTAATAAGGTGTATTATTTATTGATTATCCCATATGATCGAACAAAAAATCGCATCTAGTTGGCTTGGAAATGACGATCGACGTAAAACTTCCCATATAAAATGACAGCGATCTTCATTTTAAAGCCATCGCTGGCGCCATTTTTTCGATCATATTGTATTATTTATTAGGATTAATATATTTTAACTTCAATCTATAGAGGACATTAAATTATGTAGTTTTATCATTTTTAAAAAATAAAGATCACGAAATTTTGAGTTGTCGCTTTCGTTCTGAGGGTCTTAGTTTATTGGAGTATTAAGTATATTGACGTCTTTCCTGAATCGGACTTGCTTGCTTCTTAATTATAAACATTTGGCAGACGAAAGTATTGACACAAAATTACAAAATGTCGATATTTTGAATTCGTTATGGCTAGAAATAAAAAAGCAAAAATCAAAATCTTCAAAAAATGAACGCCTTATAAGTTTTAACATGGAACAACATTTTACAACCAGTTACCATTTAGAACCGTTTACTTTAGATGATATACTAAGGGCTGGCAAAGGTTAGTCTTGGGTCGAGATTTCCGTATGTAAGAAGAGTACAATGCGTTTATAATGTACTGAACAAAGAGAGAACAGTAAACACGTTGCCAAACGTATGCAATAAACCGAGAAACTGTGCACATTGCTAAGAGACATGGAAGGGGATATAGCAGATTTGTCGCAGTTGACCGGTCGACCCAATCAATACCTCTGTCAGTACTTAAAGTTCTAGGGACAGGTGTACATCATGCGTTCATCTTCACTATTTAATTACGTCTCGTGATACTTTATTTGTTTATTTACTAACGAGTCGTTGTAATTTTCTCTATAGCTTGAAAATTTTTAAGTGCAAGTTAGAAACACTTGCATTTTTGGTAAAAATAAGTGGAATTGAGATGGTGTTCGAGGGTGGCCGCGCTATTAGAACTCTGAATTCAAAAGTCGATATCTCGAAATCTACTAGAAGTAATTGATTTTAGTTTTTTTTTCAAAAACCTTCTTAATATGTCTGCTATAATTTCTTCGCAGACAGTAGATATATCAAAATCTTTATAAATAAAAAAGTTACACGATTGTTGGAAATTGCTATGCACTAAAGTAAATGGATATGTGATTTGATCTAGTCGTCTTTTCGAAAATAAAAGTCTTTTAAAAATAATCGGTTTGCGATCGTGATTTTACTTTACTTGATATGGAAAGGCGTACCGGCAACGCCGCAACAGCACACCCGTCGTATTCCTCTCACTCCGACTTAATAATATCCCTATACGATTTACTTCCATACACGTAAATACCGACCCGAAAGTAACAGTTGCCAGCACTGTATAGTAAAAGACACCACCAAAATGGCGTTGAAAGTATTCTCCCTCTGATATACACAACTTTTGCCGACAAAAATTAGTTTGTTTGCAGCACAGCCTATTCATAACCAGCCATACGATCATTTGCTGGTTCTGATCAACCTTGCTACTTAGTGCATCGCCAACTTTCAAAATGAAAAATAGAGAACGAGAGCTTAAAAAAGCGCCACTGGCGAAACATTTTTTAAAACTTCGCCTAAATGTTTTCCAGAATTTATCCAAAAGTTATGTAAAAGATTCTTCCTTAAAAACATTTATACTCAAAACTTGTTAAAATAAAACAAACGATTTTCTACGAAACTTTTTATTTCAAAATATAAGCTAACAGTAAGTAAACTTAATAAAGCTAAACATTTTTATTGCCTCCACAAATATTTCTTGGACGTGAATCTTTCTTTTCTTTACGAAGCAGTGCCAGTGGGAGTAGCGAAAGACCCATTGCTGCTAGATTAACAATTTTATTAAGCATTGGGGCGATAGACGCATGTCTTATGGAATAGAGTTTTAATAATCTGCTGAGATGATAACATGGTTTGCGAAACGCGCGTCCAGTATTAAAAGTAAAGTGTTTTTGTGTATTGGCGAATTAGAGTTTTATTTTGCACATTTTCCAATACTTATCAATTATTAGTACATAAATACCGTATGATCGAATAAAAACGGCGTCAGCGATGGCTATGAAATGAACATCAATTATTTTCCATATAATTTTACATACAAAATGACAGCGATCTTCATTTCATAGCTATCGCTGACGCCGTTTTTTTCTCGATCATACGGTATTTCACAGTTAAATTTTAACTTTTTTCCTGTATTGGGCATTTAGACCAAAAATCACATATTAATATATGTATGTCAATACGTTTTCTGCTTTTGTTTATTATACCGTGTGATACATAGGAAAGCCTAAACATAGGAAATCTAATGTAAATTTTAAAATTGAGAAAAGTTCGCCATTATATTTTAGAGAAAACCTTTTTTGAGACTTTATAAAATAAGGCAAATTGTTCATTTTGAGAAATGGAGAAAATTTGGCCTACATTCTACACCCTCGTCCAATAATTTTTAATGTTCATAATACCACTTGAGTATAACAATTTATATGAATTCGTTTTTGAGTCATAGGAGAAAAAAAATACTAACCGAAAACTTAAAATAATCCGGTCCTTGTCAAACTATCACAAATTCTATCAGAATATGACAAATCTATTATGATTTTCTTCTACATTATCTGTCAAAAATGCTGTGTAAAAAATACTACTCTATAGAATCTTTAAAAAAATCAAATATATTTCGTAGTTAAGAAAATACAGTTTCCTAAAAAAAGAAAATTTATTTATTAAACACTAAAAACGATTCACAAAAATGTTAAAAATAGAGAAATGGAGAAAATTTGGCCTACATTCTACACCCTCGTCCAATAATTTTTAATGTTCATAATACCACTTGAGTATAACAATTTATATGAATTCGTTTTTGAGTTATTGGAGAAAAAAATACTAACCGAAAACTTAAAATAATCCAGTCCTGGTCAAACTATCACAAATTCTATCAGAATATGACAAATCTATTATGATTTTCTTCTACATTATTTGTCAAAAATACTGTGTAAAAATACTACTCTATAGAATCTTTAAAAAAATCAAATATATTTCGTAGTTAAGAAAATACAGTTTCCTAAAAAAGAAAATTTATTTATTAAACACTAAAAACGATTCACAAAAATGTTAAAAATAGAGAAATGGAGAAAATTTGGCCTACATTCTACACCCTCGTCCAATAATTTTTAATGTTCATAATACCACTTGAGTATAACAATTTATATGAATTCGTTTTTGAGTTATTGGAGAAAAAAATACTAACCGAAAACTTAAAATAATCCAGTCCTGGTCAAACTATCACAAATTCTGTCAGAATATGACAAATCTATTATGATTTTCTTCTACATTATTTGTCAAAAATACTGTGTAAAAAATACTACTCTATAGAATCTTTAAAAAAATCAAATATATTTCGTAGTTAAGAAAATACAGTTTCCTAAAAAAAGAAAATTTATTTATTAAACACTAAAAACGATTCACAAGAATGTTAAAAACAGAGAAATGGAGAAAATTTGGCCTACATTCTACACCCTCGTCCAATAATTTTTAATGTTCATAATACCACTTGAGTATAACAATTTATATGAATTCGTTTTTGAGTTATAGGAGAAAAAAATACTAACCGAAAACTTAAAATAATCCAGTCCTGGTCAAACTATCACAAATTCTATCAGAATATGACAAATCTATTATGATTTTCTTCTACATTATCTGTCAAAAATACTGTGTAAAAAATACTACACTATAGAATCTTTAAAAAAATCAAATATATTTCGTAGTTAAGAAAATGCAGTTTCCTAAAAAAAGAAAATTTATTTATTAAACACTAAAAACGATTCACAAAAATGTTAAAAATAGAGAAACGGAGAAAATTTGGTCTACATTCTACACCCTCGTCCAATAATTTTTAATGTTCATAATACCACTTGAGTATAACAATTTATATGAATTCGTTTTTGAGTTATAGGAGAAAAAAATGTTCATAATACCACTTGACTATAACAATTTTTTCTTCAGTTATACAGGGTGAGTCTGAAATAAGTGCAAATATTTTCATATCTCCATAAAAAAAACATATTTTCCCTTTGCCATTTTTCAAATAAATCCAAAATAACAGAGGTATTTTAATTTAAAAATTTCCAAAAAAGTGATTTTAATACTCTAAACAATTTTTCAAAAAATTCCAATTTTTTTTCACGAAAATAAACTAATAATCGTGTTTCTGGGGTCGAAGTATACTACCCCTAAAATTATTTGCACATATTTAAGGCTCACCTGAAGAAAGTATAACTCAAAGAATATACCTAGAAAGTATAATTCAAAGAATATAACAAGAAAGTACAGTATGATCGAAATTCCGGTGGCTTAGAAATGACGATCAATGACATTTCTCATATAATTTTACATATAATAATGACAGCGATCTTCATTTTATAATCATCGCTGACGCCGTTTTTTTTCGATCATATTGTATAATTTACATTTACAATTTATTTTTGGCATGTAGAAAGTCAATGTGAGACAAAAAAAAATATTTTTTTAAATATTTTTGACATTAGCGTCCATTAGGCATCATCTTATTATTTTTTTGGAAAAATTAGTATATGATTTATTTATCTTTCGTTACTTCAAAAGGAATTTCTAGAGACTATTGAAAATGAAAATTGGCTTTTTAGTAAGTTCTTTAAAAAGTTTCAAATACAGGGTGGCGCCTCTCATACGCCGCGGAGGCTCCAATGAAAACGACAGTTTGTATTGAAATGAAATTTTGTGAGCATATGTAGGTTAATTCAGAGCACTTTTTAAAAATATAGAGAGTTCTACAGGGTGTCCCCAAAAAAACTTTATGTTATGTTTTTGTAAAACCCTATATATTAATTGATTTTCGGATTCTAGGAAAAAAATAAAGGTGAGTTTTATTAAAGAAGCATATACCTAAAATCTAAGGATTTTGACATATTTCATATTTTATGAAAATGAAGAGTAAATTTTAAATTTCGATAACAGCTACCTAAATTTTAGTTGACCTTGTATAGCCTGATATTTAATTACGGTAACCATTGTATTTTATACCAAATTGAAATTTGACCCGAAAAGTTATACAGGGTGAGATAAAATTAATATGGAACATTAGTCACTTAATAATATTTTGAAGATATCTAAATCCCTCATTGAACACCGGAAAAATATACTGGGTGTTCCATTTAAAATAAAAGAGTAACATGCTTTTAAAGGTGATCAATGTTCAATATTAATTTTGTCTCACCCTGTATAACTTTTTGGATCAAGTTTTAATTTGATTTAAAGTACAACAGTTAATTTAACTACATATTAGGCTATACCGGCTAAATTTCAATTTAGGTAGCTTTTATTGTAATTTAAAAATTGTTCTTTATTTCTAGAAAATGTCAAATATGTCAAAAACCTTACATTTTAGTCATATACTTCTCTTATAAAACTCTCCTTTATTTTTCGCCCGAAATCCGAAAATCAATTAATATATAGGGTGTTCCATTACAAAAAACACAACTTTGATATGTAACTTTTTTTGGAGACACCCTGTAGAACTCTCTATATTTTTAAAAAGTGCTCTGCATTAACCTACATATGCTCACAAAATTTCATTTCAATACAAACTGTCGTTCTCCTTGGAGCCTCCGCGGCGTATGAGAGGCGCCACCCTGTATTTTACTCTAGCCAAAATGGGTAACTTTTATTTATCGTCTTTTTTAATTTGCATGAGATTGCCTATATTCAGGTCGACAATGCAACAGACGAGACGCTGTAATAATTGTATGAAATGGATTAATAAAATTTAAATAACTTGAATAATCATTTCCCTGTATATATTTTACCTTGTCAATTACCTTATTGATAAATCATATTATTGCCACATAGGCTACTACGTCAAACTAACACTTTATGAGTATACTATTAAAATTTTCTCACGATCAAAAATACCTTTATAAGTAACCTTTATTAAGCATTTGACAGATACGCTTTCGCATTTTGACGCTCACATAATAATTCATGACTAAAATTCGAAGAAATAACTAAGTTAAGATTAGTTTTAAACGACCAGAACTGTTAGATTATAGGAAAATTATTGTTTTTCTAGTCTCGTAGATTGGAAATGGATAAAGAAAATGGAAAGGGCAACGATAGTTCTTCCGGCCCGAGCAAGGTGTCCAGCGTACAAGATCCAGCGGCCATCCTCGATGCTGCCAGCTTATTTGGAGGTAAGATAGCTTTATTAATGGTTCATAATATGCCCCTTTACACGTTGGCTAATGCGGTGCCAGTTCGTTGGGCAATGTGCTGGCGCACATTTTTGCAGGCCTCTCTACACGTTGGCTAATGCGTTGGCCAGTGTGTTGGCCCATAAACCGGCGCAAGTATTGGCCAGAATATTGGTAATCCATACATTAAATGTCTCAGTCAGCTGCTGTATCGACCGGTATCGGTAGTTAAAAACAAGACAAAAACTGTATCCTTGTGATTTGATTGGTCGGGACTATTCATGACTTTACAACTCACTAGACGTTGAAGAATAATGGGGGGGGGGGGGGGAATTACCGCGACTTTACGAATCTATTTTCTCCCCCTTTCTTGGGTTATAACTCATCATACAGTCCCAGGGCTTGGACAAAACTCGGTATCTGAGAAGGTTTGGTTTGGTTTTACTTAAATCCAGAAAAATCTTTTATTTTTCTCTGTCGAAAGTCCTGAGAAATTTCTTCGAGTGTCTTAGACTTTAAGCTTCTCTAGGCATTCTTTAACCAACTTCGAATTGATTGTTATGAGTTGATCGCTATTAATGCTGCTTGACCATCGAATAAGATAGATATTTCTTGTTTCCTATAGTTCCTATCTAAGTTGTATTTATCATTCGATAGCGTAGATTTATGTTTGAAGGATGCTAGGGAAATGCTCATTAGTTTCGAGTATTTAGTTTTCGACTCAAATACTCCTATTATCTATCCCTGTTCCTGCTTTGGTTTTGGAAGCATCAGTATACTACGTTATGGTATGGTCTTTTAGCTGCTGAGCAAACGTTTCTCTCTTCCAATCCTTTTTATTATACTCAATACTAATGCGTTGGCCATGTTTTTCAAAGTTGTACATTCTTACTTTTTATTCGCATGTTATCCACTGGGAGTTGGATTAGTGAAATTTTCCTTTGGAGGGTGTTCCAAGCTCGTGAGCTGACCTTCTGAATTTCTCCCAGTACTGTTTCCATCAATGACCATTCTAATCATTGTCGCATATACAGTATGTCTCCGGATTGTCTTTACAAACGGGAAAATTTTTATTAAGTTTTCGAGAAAAATGTATTCTTCATAACAGTTTTTGCTTGTTCTAAAATGGTTAATCCTGCTTATGCTTTTCCAAATTCCCATACTGTCTTAGAGAAAAATTAAAATTTTTCCCCCAAAAGAGAAAGTCCAAATCGCGTTTCTATGGTAATATGGGTATAATATCATCTCGATTTCATTTTTTGATAGATAGTTACTATGAAATTGATAACGTCATATTTTTTGCTTTTTTAATATATTAAAGAAGCACAAAATTTATTTGGTTCAATACTACGGAAAAAGTGATTATAAATTTGTTGCTTAAACTCTTTGACTAAAAAAGGAAAAAATAGTAATGACTTTAATCAAAATTAATACTTACCACCTGTCAAGGAATGATAACGAAATGATATTACCCTAGAAACGCGTTCAGATTTTTGGGACTTACAAAAAATGGGGAAAATTCAACTATATTTTGATAGTTTCATTTATCTATGTTTTCATATTTTTGTATTTTTCTCTAAAACGGTATCAAAATTTGAAAAAGTATAAACGGGATTAACCATTTTAGAACAAGCAAAAAGACTACCTTTTTCTCGAAAAGTTAATAATAAAAAAGTTTTTCCTCTTGTAAAGAAAATCCGAAGACATACTAACACTGATATTTAGAATTTGAATGTGTGTGTTTTTTCTCACAGCCTATTGGCCAAGGAGCGACGCCAGCACTGCCAATCTGTTCGCGGCGGCCAGCGGCTTTGGACTGCCGCCCCACGCGGCCGCCGCCCTTCCTTTCGGTCTCCTGCCGGCGGCGGCTGCTGCCCAAGGCGGCCGCGGTGGTAGCTCGTCCAGTACTTCCGGCGGCGGTACCAACTTGCCGCCTAGCTACCCTGCCTCTTCGACGGCCGCGCCTTCGGGAGCGGCGGCGGCGGCTGCCGCTGCCTACAGCAACGCCGCTTATTCCAGCACGTTGTCGGTTGCCGCTAGTCAAGCTGCCAGTTTGGGGATGCCAGTAGCAAGTAAGTAAATGTGTGTTTAAAATTAATAGAGAATTTTTAAATGTTTTAGTTATACAGAGTGAGTCTTAAAATAAGTGCAAATATTTTTAGGGGTGATATATTTCGACCCCAGGAACACGGCTATGAGGTTTTCTCATAAAAAAATATGTTAAAAATCGTGCATTTTTTAAATTTTCTTGTATATTTTAGAAAACGTTTTAGAACTGCCTGTTCATCGCAAATTTTTCCACGGTATAATTTCTTAAGCTTTGATATTAGACAGTTAAAGCACGGTCAAAGACGTAGACGTAAACGTATCGTTTGACATGTACGCTTGCGCAGTGAGAAATTCACTTGCGTTGATACGTGATACGTATCTTTACGTGCCTTTACGTACGTACAAAACGCAAACGCATCGAGCCGAAGGAGTTTTGATTTTCACCCGAATGATTCCGAACGTACAAATTCACAAACAACTCGTTTCCACAACTGGCTAGTAATTAAGTTATTTCATAAATTTTGTGGCCAGTGTAACAGAACTGGGCCTATTTTATTACAATAAATTAGTATGAAAATATTAAGCATCATAATAAACTCATTTTGGAATCTATTTAATTAAATGCTATTTCTTAGCCAAAATCCATATGAGGATTCTAAAAGATGGAATCTAATAAATAATCATAAAACTGTTTCTGTTTTCCAATATTTTTTATTACTAAGAGCATTTTAAGTTGTAAAGACTACTTTCTGTAATAAAATAATTTCCATTTATAATTTTCTTCGTGTTTCGAACTTTTATAAATTTAATGTGGAATCATTGGAATAATAGATATCCATTAATCAGTTTTAAAGTTAAATAAATGGTTTCACAAAATAATTTAGAATTACAAATGTACCATTTGCGTTACGTACGTCAAAATACTTGCTTTAACTCTTGTTTACACGACAACACAACGACAGACGTAACGTAGGTTTCTGCGTTACGTGTCGAGAGATACGTATACGTATATTGTGCCTTGCTTTAACTGTCTATTACCTTGGTGACGGCTTTACTCTATGGTTGCGGCACTAAAAGGGATGCAAATACAGAAAAAATGGTGATTCTCAGTTTTTTTAAATAAATAATTTTTTCCTTAAACTTTCAAACTGGAATAACTCGATTATTTTGGACTTTTTGAAAAACGGCAAAGTGAAAATGGGCTTTATTTTTCTTGATAAAATAATGAATATACTTAATTTTATTCTTAAACTACGGTAGGTAAATTTAAGCAAACTGTTATAAATCTAAATAATGTCCATAAACTAAAGTCGATTTTGAGAATAGTTACTAACTGTTACTAGAAAATTGCCATGGCGACACCACCCGTCTTGATTGCCATCTGAGCTAGATAGGTATGTATAGGGTACCTATTATATATATATAGTTTAAAAGAGCATTTAAATCTGCTTCGATTTATTTTAAAAAATAGAGGGTGTTGCATTTGAGATAACGAAGTTTTTATGTAAAATAAATATATAAAATAGATCAGCAATTTTTGGTACCCCTGTATAAATTTAAGGAAACAATAAAACTTTTCAGCAAAGTTCATTTCTCTGCGTTTAAACTGAGCGTAAGAATTAATTCTGAAAAGTAATGTACAGACTGTTGATAAGTCATTCTATTGTAGCATGCATATTTAAATATCTTTAAACATCACAAAAAAAATTCAAACATACCTATTTAACCATTATAGCAAATGCATTTTTCCAAGAATCCAAAAATATATATTACCAGGTGTTCCATAAGAAAAAATAACTTTTCTATGAATCTTAGTACTGAAACACCATGTATGTTTCAAAATAATTTTAAATTGTGCACATTGCCTACCCACATATATATCCATAAAATATTTTGGTTCTACATCTTTCTGTTTCGTTATAATCAACCGAGGCAATGTGGCCACCCTGTATAAAAATTATACAGGGTGTTTCTGAATAAGTGTCCGATATTTTATAAGGTAACTAGCGTGTACCAGCGACTTCGTTCGCGTCGAATTAATCATTTGTAATGGGTTTAATTAGCTATATTTAATTTAGCAAGAATTTCCATTAACATAAAAACTGGATAAAATTTTCTTACATTTATGTCAGCATGAGAAAAAACAATATGGCGATATTATTATATAACTTGGTAATATTTTAGGGGTAGTTTCATCTCGTTGGAATTTGACTTTCGAAAAATTCGTTTGCCAAAAATAAGCTTTTTACGTAAAGCAGTTTAAGCAGAATCGTGGTTAAGAAATTACTCAAACTTTTTGGAACACCCTGTATGATTTTTTAAAAATGTCAAAATATGTAAAAAAAACAAATGAATTATGCTTGTTCAAGCGTTTTCCTGAAAATTCTTAAATAACAAATATTGTAATATTTGAGGGGCGTTTTCACTCTCTTGGAATTTGAGATTCGAGAAACCCCTCCTTATCGAACCTCTACACCCCACAGTCAATCCGTTTGCCAAAAATAAGCTTTAAACGTCAAGCAGTTTAAGCAGAATCGTGATTACTCAATGGTCATATTTTATGAAACACCCTGTATAAATTTATAAAAAATCTTAAAATATGTAAAACAACAAAATAAAATATACGTGTTTAAGAGTTTTTCTGAAAAACTCTCCGGTTTTTAAATAAAAAATATTTTAATATTTGAGGGATAGTTTTACCCCCTTAGAATTCGAGTTTCGAAAAATCCCTTCTTATCGAACCTCTAGACCCTAAACTCAATCTGTTTTCCAAAAATCAGTTTTTTACGTCAAGCGCTTTAAGCAGGATCGTGATTTATCAATGACCAGCTTTTTCGAAACACCCTGTATACATTTTAAAAAATCTTAAAATATGTAAAAAAACAAAATAAAATTCACGTGTTTAAGTGTTTTTCCGAAAAACTCACCGGTTTTTAAGTAAAAAATATTGTAATATTTGAGGGGTGGTTTCACCCTCTTGGAACTGGAATTTCGAGAAATCCCTTCTTATCGAACCTCTACACCCTAGAATCAACCTGTATGCCAAAATTGAACTTCTTACGTTGAGTGGTTTGAGCAGGATCGTGATTAATCAGTATGTCAGTCACTTAAGGATTTTATTTATTATGTCAGTCACTTAAGGATTTTATATATTAGTATAGATATAGATTTTTCAAGCATTTTTAAGTTAAAAAGTTCATATAATCATGTTTTTTAAAATGCTTCGGTTTCGAGATGCAAGGTCAAAATTTTGAGAAAATATGTTTTTTTCATATCTTCGGAGCCACTCCAGATATTTTTATGAAATATAGTCACACATCTTTTCTCCATAAGGCCCAGCGCCCACGGTGCGACTATTTTGAGACAAAAGTTGCAAACTAGTTTACTCTACAATCAGTTTCCAACTAAAATAAAACTGATGAACGTACACGGATGCAACTCATTCTAAATCAGTTTCACTCAGCTGTTGTTGCAGTTCAATTAAACAAAAATACAACGTCAAATTCCGAATATTCCGAATATTGAAAATCAGATGATAAAGACCTCATTAATTATCATAAATACTGCAGTCAACCCAGGACTCATAGAGAGTACTGGGTCTATCCATACATGCTTTCTCTATCACGTCTTTCTTGGAGTACACCACAAAGTTTATAATTATAGAGTTCTGCGTATTTCTCAACCTCTCCGACAAATTTTATGTTCAGTTCTTAATCACACATTTTGAAATATATAAAATAACCACGTGGAAATCACTTGAATACGGGCAACTTTAAAACTGCAACGCAACTGCGACCGCGGGAAATGGTCACCAACAACAGATTTGTGACTGATTGCAAACTAGTTCCATTCGAATCGATTCGTCTGCGTCTTCACACTACCATACGTTACCGAGGTTACAAAATAGTTGCAAGCTCAACCAATCTGCAATTTTTGTCACAAAACAGTCGCTGGGCCTAACCTAAAGGACACTTTTCGATGAAAAATAGTTTCTTAAATTTTACCGGTGTAAGGCCAATAGCCTTTTCAGCTCATAAAATCTAATCTATAGAACTACTAAAGTTTATCCAACCAGTCAGGGAAGATTTCACTAGACGACATCCAACAACTGACAGTGATGGCTTGGATATATGTATTCAAATTAAATTTGTTTCAATTTATTGTACTAAACAGTCGAATTGATGAATTATTATTATTTAATGTAACTATTGACAGTATTTTTTATATATTAAGGAAACGCTAAAAGCTACGTTAAAATAAATATAATTTTAAAGCTAATTAATTTGTAGTTTTCATCTTTTTGTTGTATGGAAATAAATATATCCGAAAACCCAATATATTTTTTAAACACACTTTTTAAGTGTAAAAGCAAGGCGTAAGTTACCCTAGTTTTTTAACGATTTATGGTGCTCACAAATACGCTTTCATTATATTTCGCTCCCTCTGAAAACGCGTTGTACGGCGTACACCCTAAATCGTTCTTGGGTCTCCCCTAGGTTGTATAATATGCACTTCCGCATCACTCGACTGCATAAAGGCGGCTTTTGTTGATATAGAATTAATTTTCGTTTAGTCCTTTGCTATTAATTCGTTTATTGCCATTTCTGTAGCAAAGGATGCGAAAATGGATTTTTAATGTTATGTAGTTATTAGGTTTTGTTTTTGGTGTTTATTTATTTATTATTTATTTAGTGTGTGTTAGTTTTTTTTCTGTTAATTGTTTCAAAAATGAACGACGCCTAAAAGCATGTAACGCGTTATACGAATATTTCACCAAATATCAATCCACATTTAGTTCTATGTTTTGTTTATATATATATATATATATATATATATATATATATATATATATATATATATATATATATATATATATATATATATATATATATATATATATATATATATATATATATATATATATATATATATATATATATATATATATATGTCTTGTTTATAAAATAATAAAGTTGCGATATACAGGACGGTCCGAATTATATTTCTAGAAACTTCGACAGTA